ACACACACACACACACACACACACACACACACACACACACACACACACAGCTCACCTTGGCAGCAACAGCCTCAATGTTTTCTCGGGTGATGCATTCAAATGTGCCTTGTTTCTCTTTGTAGTGAATGAAGGGCTCCACGTTCTGTTTTAGATGAAAGTCCTCTTTGGACAGGGTGTCTACACACACACAAAAAACAAAACACGTTCACATGTTAATGATCACCACATTTAGCTCAGGAGGAACTGAAACTTGTCAGCTCGTTGCCCTGGGGAAATCTCCACCATTTCAAGACGTCACACATTCGCTCGTTTTGCCAGATGTTTGACTCTGTCTGACCCACGTGTGCTGGGAGCATCTGGTTTGTCACGAGTGCAGCTCGACAATACAACCAAGTCTCAGATTGAGATGTGAACTTCTCCTGCCCCCCGCGTACTCTCTGGTTACCTACTTTAATTTACACCACAATGCGGCACAATACCTGACCTGAATCCCAATAGCAACTTCCATCTCTCTGTCTCCCCCTGCGACGTCTTGTTATCTTTCCCATCTTTGATTCACAATGGGTGAATGCACTGGATACGCCACGAAGGTCAAAATACTCCTCAAAAAGATAATATATTCTGCAGTGGGCTGGCTTATTCCCATCGTACGCTGACCTGGTTTGCAGATGTCATAGTCCATGGCTCCCCCCATGTTGAGTATTTTCTGGATAATGGTTTTGGCCAGAGCGGTGGGGCTGAAGAGGACCGGTCTTCTCCTCTGGGTCCTCTGGAGGGTGACGGGGCTGTAGGGAATCAGGTTCAAATTCCTGCTCAGCTCACTGTCTGGGTCAGCAGCATCTGTTTACAGCCAAGTCACCACACGAACAAAAAAAGAGTTGCACACAGTAAAACACCCACAGAGAGGAAGACATGTTACCTACATCAAGCTACATCATTAACCCCAGCAGTCCCTCTAAATCCAATCAGGTTTCACCAATTTGCTCATTAGTCACATTTTTCATCAAGACCCGTCAATTATTCTCTGTCTTTCAGTAAAAATGTAAAAAAAAACTGCCTGATCTCAATTTTAAGTGATAAAAAATTGGTCCAAATCTAAATTGTATGGGTTCTTCCACCAAGTTTCACAAAACCACACCAACCCATAGACAAGGTGTGTGTGTGTTTTATGGTTTTAACATGTAAATGACAAAAACCAGATAAAGTAACTAAACTGAATTGAAGTGAATTTTGCGTAAACAGAAAATATAGTTAAAATATAGTATAGAACTCACTTTGTTCAAGGACCATAACAACACATTGTGGCATGATTATGTCTCATATTGATTCATAGTTTTGGACACTTTTTCGGCGCTTTCAACTTCCTTAAACTTTTCTCTAGAAAAATTGCACAATTTAAAAAAATACGTCTTAAAGATAAGATAACAAATAGTGGTACAGGAGGTACAGGAAGAGCTATTTAAGGCATCTAACCAATTCATGTGAGAATTAAATTAGAAAAAAACTTTTCTCAACTCTTTATCTGACATCATCGTTTGCACTTTGGGTGACACTTCTATTCTTAAACTGACACTTCATCCACCATCATATCTTGTGCTTTAACTACAGCAAAACTGAAATTTTCAAAGTTTCCACTGATACTTGAGTTTCGCCCAGTGCTCTACACCAAAACTGAAAATCAAACGTCTTTCAGCAGTTGCATTGTAGCTGCTAACTCGTTGTCTTTCAGTATTAGTATGAATGTCGACCGGTTTGTCAACCGTTTCCACATTTTAGCGATTTTAAAAGTTTCAAATCAGCAGCAGACGTTACCAGTGTTGGGCACGTTACTTTTAAAAAGTATTTCTATATATATAGTTACTAATTACTTCTCCCATTAAGTAACTGAGTTAGTAACTGAGTTACTCCACCATAAAAGTAACCAGTTACCAGGGAAAGTAACAATTGTGTCACTCTTCTTTTTTTTAAGTTTAAATATGTTTAAGAATTTGGATTTTTTTTCTTAGCAGGTTTCACAAGCCAGTTGCATAGAGTAGAATTGCATGGACAGGTACTTACACAGAACTTTTAATATTTATTGCACCTCAAACCACAACTGGTAGACATACTGTACTTCAAGTATTTTCTTCATCACAAAAATACACAGTTTAACAATATAACAATTAAGTGCTTTTAACTCTCTGTACATACTGTACAAGTATTTTCTTAACAATAAAACTAAACAGTGGCTCCGTGTCCTTCTTTGTTAGCGGAGCTCACGTTAGCCACACCTGGCCTGCTATCATCATCATCAACGGTGTTTTTGGCCACTGGTTTAGTTGAAGCCTGTGCCGTTGAGAGATGTTTCATTAAATTGGAGTTGCTTACAACGGACGTGGACAAACACTTCGCTCTGGGACATAATGTACACTTCACATGTACGTTTTTTCCTTTTACCTCAAGGAGATTGAAGTAATGCCTGTACTTCCACTTTGAAAAGGCCAACTTTTCCTCCACACTCGCCATTGCTGCCGCTTACCTCTGCTAGTTGGGTGTGTGTGAAGTTGCTGTGTGCGTGTGTGGTTTGTGTGTAAACTGAACACTGCCTCGGACTGGCTTATCATGAAAGCTTACTCCACCTTAGCCAATCATCATCACTTATGCGGCTGTCTCGCCCCTCCCTCCTCTCCTCACCAAAGAAAAATAAGTAATTATTTAGATTACCCGTTACTGGAAAAAATAACGCCGTTATTCCCATCATTGGACGTTACCCACCTTCTGGTCTGAGCGTCTCTAAGCCTTGTCTGGGTAGTGTTGTGCTGCCGGAGTTGATGAGCCTCACGCGCTCATTGCTGTTCATTCGCTTGTACTTGATATCCACCCTGCTGACAAACTACACATCAACACAGACACAGAGTGGTAGCATGTTATTAGAGACACCTTGGACATATAGCAGGGTTGTTGTAATTTAAAAGACTCTGGTTCACCACTGCACTGAACAGACTGAACAACTGGAGTTTGTGTTTCCACTTCATTACCTGTAGTATCTGGGTGAGGAAGATGCTGGCTCTTGACAAGCGTGGGCTGGATTTAGGATCGGGTAAGGAGCTGGCTTCTTCTGGCTGTAGATTGCACTGCACAGGCACACGGACACAACTCAGTGGACTCAAACTACAGACACACGGCAACGCACAATGCTGACTTAACAGCTAGAATTACAGCATAGATTTATATAAAGTCACAGTAAACTTTGACCTTTGACCACCACAATGGAATCAGTTCATCTGTGAGTCTAACTGAACATTTGAGCCAAATTTAAAAGGATTCTCTTGAGGCGTTCTTAGGATAACACGTTCATAAAGCAAGGAAAGAGGTTTGTGAGGTCACAATTCATCCTTAAGACATTAGTGCAAAATGCTTTTTACCCGACTGTTGCGGAGGCTTTCATTTTCATCTTTACCCCCTCGACACAGTAACTTCTGGATCTTTACCAGGAGCAGCTGCTGGGCCCTAAACACACACACACACACACACACAAGGTTTGTACGTTTCTGTGAATGCACAGGTCTGAATAAGTGATTTCATCAAACTCTTTTATTTCTGGAAGAACGACTCTGTACCGTGAGTTGCTTGGTAAGGTGCCACGCTCCAACTGGTCGCAGCCGGTGTAGGGGTCGACACGAGTGCACAGCCACTCACAGCGGCCCTGGTGCCTGGTGTCTAGGACGTGCACCACCTCATCACAGCGCACGCTCAAGGAGCAGCTCTCCGATTGGCCAGAGATGTTCAGGTTGACCCGTATGTAGAAAGAGTCGCCAGAAGCCAGTGAGCCCTCTGCAAGGTCCCTCTGAAGACGCCGGTAAGCTGAAGAACACACACGTTTGGATTTATTGTATATGAATGTTAAAACAGATAAATGTGTAAGAGTCCAGTAAAAGCAGGACTTGCCATCGAAGTTGGCTCGATAGTGCAGGCGAACCGGTCCAGAGCAGTGCTGCAGCGTCCAGTGGGCTTCTTCCTGGGTGCTCGTGTCCAATGAAATGCTTTGGTTCTCCCCACGTATGCAACCCTCGAGCTGGTCAGCCAATCGCAGAACAAGACAGATGATCAATGCTGCCGTGAACTGGTCAGTTATATCTCATCTTTTTGCATATTAGTCTCTCCTTATAGAAGATGGTTACTATGAATGGGAACAAGCAAAACAAACATGCATCTATATATACAGTTAACATGTCAGCAGTAGACAACATACCAACAGGAGGTGGTGACCCTCTCGTAGCCCTGCCTTGTCGGCGAGGGAACCCGATTGGACACTCGAGACGAAAATCCCGCTGTGGTTGCCACCAACCAGAGCGATGTCCTTTAAAAGATTGTCGCTTAGCAACGACAGCTCCTGCACCGGCCTCAGGGTTGCGCTGGTCCTGGAGAAGGAGGACAGAGACGGACGGAAGGGCCTACACATAGACATACATACACACACAAAAACAAGTGTGACAGAGGCCAGTTAATCATCTCCTGAGTGACTTGCGATTATTCTGAGTGTCTGCGTCTACCTCCTTTTGCACATCTTATTGCACTATTTTTTATAGTTTTTAACATCCTGTAAATTCTATTTAAAATCTATTCTACTCTGTTGTGCTGTACCTCTCTAAAGAGAGTTTCCTGAAGATGTTGTTGACCTGCTCCAGGTCCAAAGTGTCCATTCCTTCTGACTGATGGGAGGAAGAAGATGAGTGGACAGAAGGAGGACCACGCTGCACTTCGTCGCCTAAGAAAAAGAAGAGACGGACAGAAATAGACAGGAAAGAGACATTAAGAGACCCATTAAAACTAGACTTACCACCCTGCTGTTGTCCGCCTGCTGAAACCAGTGCAATGTCTGTCTGAAATCTAATCAGTTCATCTGTGAGTTCAAGTGAAATTCTCTCAAGGTGTTCTTGAGATATCATCTTCACTAGACGGACAAACCAACAAGTTGAATACATAAAGCCTCTGGCCCCTGACTGTGTTCAGACACAGAGACATAAAAAAACAAACAAAGAGAACATAAATCCATTCAGATAGAAAACATGATATGTGTGAAACTATACTTTACCACAGTCCATGTTGTCACTATCAGAGTCAAAGAGGCTGAAAAAGACCAAACAATAGTGTTTTATTTCATATTCATAACAGGAAAACTACCCAATCCAGACCATATTCATAATGAAACCACCTCTGTCAACACGGTTAGCAAATACCGACTGATTTAAAACATGACATGATACCTTTGAGGCTGGAAGTCGTGTTCCTTCTCCCTCTCTCTGCGGTACAGCGATCCTGTCTCAGGTGGTTCAGGGAGTGTGGACAGGATGCTGTCGTTACGGTAACGGAGCTGGAGATGTTACAGGTGAACAGAGCAGAAGCAGATAGTGGAAATCAACTTCACGCTTCGATGTGTTTTACCAAACAGAGAGACACAATACTGCAATATCCTGGTAACTAGTGCAGTTTCAGTCTAATTCAAACTTGATGACATGTTCAAGAGGCCAATGCAAATCTAGTCAGAGGCAACATTTGTGAAATATTCTCTCGAAGCATTCTCAAGATTTGACCACCAAAATCTAATCAGTTCATCTTTGAGTCAAAGTGAGCATTTTTGCCAAATTAGAAGAAATTGACTCGAGGTGTTCCTGAGATGTTGTGTTCACAATACAAAAATAACAGGTTTTGTAAGGTCAAAGCAGCCTTGACCTTTGACCAGCAAAATATTATCAGTTCATCCTTGAGTCCAAATGAACATTCGCACCAAATTTGGAGAAATTTCCTCAAGACAATTTTGAGATAACATGTTCACAATCATGGGACGGACAGACAACCTGAGATCATGCTGCCTCCGGCCTCTGACTATCTCCCACGCATCATAAAGAGATGCATCATTTTCCTGCATTGATCAGACAGAAAAAATCTGGCCCTCACCATATTGGGCCTGTTGCTGTGCTCCATCATGGTGAAAGGAAGTGGGGAGGAAATGGGGCAGGAGGAGAGTGCAGGAGCTGAACTGGGAGAATACAAGGGGGACATGGGGAAGCTTGGGGAGGAAGGAAGGCGCTGGTTCAACGTCTGAATGTCCAGAAACTCTCCTCCGTTAACCGGCTGGGCTGAAAGGCGGAGACAAATGAGGGTGAACTTGGACAAAGGCAGTGTCATTATTAGGGTGTGAATGATTGAGTGAAACAGTGAGTTACCTGCAGCGGACTCTGAGTCTCTGTCTTTGGGGACACAGATCGGAGATTTACCTCTATTCTAAAAGACAAAACATCACAACTCTTTAGTTGGTGTTTAAAACTGTTAGGAAGAGAGTTGGTCATATTCTCCGATATGTAAATAAGTAAGTGTGACAGTAGCTGACCCCGGCTTTAAGATTAGGTCTGCGTTTGAGGCGAGGCTCCTCACAAAAGTGCTTCTCCTCTGGCGACTCATCACTGGACCATTCTGATTGGACCGCGATAGGTCTAAACCCGTCCCCCTGAGAGATGGTGGTCTGAGGCAGGTCCCTTGGCAGAGTTTGCTGAACAAACAGACCCAAGAAAATGTGGCAAAACATCAGAGACGAGCTGAGATGAAATGATGAACATCATGTGCAGACGTTCATTTGCTCTGCTCAGTCTCACCTGGTCCAGAACAACGTCCTTGGACACCCGTCGTAAGCGAGACTCCAGAGTGAGCAGCTTGGCCTCTTTGTGCACAATCTCAATCTGGAGCTCATCGCTCTTCTCCTCCAGCTCTCGGATCTGCTTGCGATATTTGTCTTTGTCAATCAGACTCTGGGAGAACTGATGCTGGGCCTCGTCTCTGGCTTGAAATGCCTGTTGGTGAAGAGGGAGAGGAAGTAAGTAACAGAACAGAATGTGCAAAATGCAAAAATCTGCGTTTGTGTGTTTTCACCTGGTTCCTCTCCTTCTCCACTTCATCGAGCTGTATGGCGATGGTGTCCATGCGGTTACGATACATCTCGCAGTCCTTCTGCAGCGTGGAGGACTTCAGCTCCAGATCCTCCTTCTCCTGCAGATACTGCACACACACACACACACAAACACACCCACAGGAGCTATTATATGTGGACATCAGACAAGTGGTCTCTCAACTAACTTGTTGCCTGTTTGAATCATGGCTCGAATGTAGTGCAATGACTGTGTGAACCTATGTGAATGTGATTCAAACTGAGAGCAAACACAGATTTGCAAAAACAAACATATGACCAGAGTCAAATGCCCATGAAACCATGTGTGAAAGACACACCCTGTGCAGAAACCCCCATCTCAGCGCTCGCTCTCTCTGGTCTTCTTCTGTGTGTGTGTGTGTGTGTGTGTGTGTGTGTGTGTGTGTGTGTGTGTGTTACCTTGTCTCGTAGTTCCTCTGCCTGTCTGACTTCTTCGTGCAGGTTGTACAGGCGGTTCACCAGATCCTGTCTGTCTTCTAGTGCTTCCTGTCTGTCATGCTCCAAAATATCAAGGATGGTCTTATCTGAAGCAGGACCAGGCTGGATATAAAACACACGTACACACACACACACACACACACACACACACACACACACGTACCACAGTGTCATCAATACCTGTCAACCCTACAGAGCATTTTAACAGAGCAACTATACATCTCACTTCACTCTCATTAGCTGAGGACCCAGATATTTCTTGTGTGTGTGTGTGTGTGTGTGTGTGTGTGTACCTGTATGAAGGACTGTAGCTCATGTAGCTTGCACTTGAGCGTCTCGTTCTCTCTTTCCAGCTCAAAGATTTGCTCTTTCTTTGGCCGGTTCTCGATGTCGTTCTTCAGCTTGAGACTCTGCCTTCTCTCCATCTTACACTCCTCCTCCACCTTGTTCAGCCTGTGCTTCAGCTGATCGATCTGTGCACACGGAGAGAATCAATAATAAGGTTTGGATACACTGCGCCCTGATCGATGCCCTCAGACCTCATCAGAGCATCTTTGTCAGTGTCTTATTATTGATTCACGGATCCGGACCGTGACATTGATGAGTACCTCTAACTGCAGGTCTCGACTCCTCATCACCGCCATGTTCTTCTCCTCGCTCAGCGTGGCGTACCTCATGGCCAGTTTGTAGTTTTCGTCCTTCACTCTCAGCAGCTCATCACTGTATGTGTTTCTATCTTCCCTCAACTTATTGTATCCTGCAGAAGTAACAGCAGTCATTTAAAGTCATCCTGGACAATTTATAACTATATCGTATCATTGCAAAATGTTTTGATGTAATATATGTAGATATAATATACTATAATATAACTTAATATAATATAATACAACATAATATCTGTTGCCATGACAACCATAGTATGTTGTAGTTATATATGTTATGAGCTGACCTCAAATAATTTTTAGCTTTTGGGTTTTTCAGCTGCAGATTTTAACTACACAGGAAAAACACGTGTCCTAGTTTCATCAGTGGAGAATGTGACTGTCTGTGGTGGACTGAGCAGGGTAAACACAGACTGATGGGGATCTTGTACTTCATGATAAGAAATATCTACATATATCTAAAATATCAACATATATTTTTACTCTGTTGAAAGGCCTGCAGCTCCTGATTGGCCAGCCGCAGCTTCTTCTGCTCGTCCTCCAGCGTGCAGTTCTTCCTGCTGAGCTCGACACTCTGCAGGGTCTTGACTTTGGACTGCTGCTGCAGCTTCATCACTTCATTCATCAGGAAATGCGTCAGGCCCTCGTGACCTTCCTCCACTGCAACGGTGGAGACGTGGAGAAGAACGACACATGGCTGAATATCATACACAGTAAATCTCAGCCTAGATACCAGCTCATCAAGATCTATGAAAAGGGTTGTTGAATGAAATGATCTTTTGTTTGCAAAAGAATCAACTTCTAGAGACTAAAACTCACACAGATCATCACTTGCTTCAGTTCAGGGTAGAGAACATTGTGTCTCTGCAGTATGCTGCATCAAAGTGTGTGTCTCACCTACGATGGTGGAGAAGCGTCGTGTGGGATCCTTCCCTGTGACCAGCTTGTAAAGCTCAGGGTAGTAAAACTCCAGACTCTCCAGAAACGCTATGTAACCTCGCTCCCCTTTAGTGTGGAGGATGTCGAGCAGGCGGCCTGATGGAGGTTTGACATTGACATTTGTTGGATTACATTTCACAGCACAGTCTCAGATACAAAGAGGAGGAGTTGTTGATGTTGTGGTTGTTGTTGTTGTGACTCACAGTTAATTAGTCTTTACATTAACAGAGAATCAAATTATTCAAGAAAAGATGAAACACACAGTGGTGTCTCCATGACTTCAGAGGACATTGACTTACATTGATTTCCTAGAGAGTAACTCAAACTTAAACCATAGTTACTACTCACCTAACCCTAACCCTAGTCTAAACCCAATCCCAATCTTAATCTTACATATATTCTTGGACTCTGGGTTTGGGCTCCTCGTCAGGTCCTGGGAGGGACAGTGCACCTTCTGTGTCTTTCCACAGGAGACGGGTTTGGTTCCTGTACCCTGACCCTACTCCGACATACTCAAATGGTCTTCACAAAGATATAAGTACACACACACAACACTTACTCGTTCGGTTTGCTTTGGACACCAGCAGCAGGGAGTTGAGAATCTCGTCCTCATCCTGCTCATCCAGGACTTTGCACTGGCGGAGGTAGGGGGTGAGTTTTGCTGGGGAGATGGAGCAACTCAGTTCATAGCGTTTGCTCTCCACCGTCTCCCACAGCTCCTCCACATCATCAGACGTCCCGTTTTCCATCTCTCACACCCTGAAAAGTCATAAAAAACCTTCAGGATTTCAGAATAAACAGAAATCACAGCCTGGATGGTCCGGCCTCTCCATCAAATAAATCACAACGTAGACATCGCTAGACTCCGCCGGATACAAGAGCAGAACCCAGAGTGAGATTTTGCTCATTTGAGTCCCACACATTCTCAACTTTAACCAACTGACATCTTTCCATTGCTTCTCCTGTGTATTTAAGCTCTCTCTACTCTCTTTATCTTGCTCTCACTCCCACTTCATTTCCTCTCTCCATCATTTCACTCTCTCACACACACACACTCACACTGCCCATGCAGCTCTAGTATTTGCATGCTGCCTGGCTAGTGGCCGTTATCCTATAACCCTGCTTTATGACTTGTAGGCAAATCAAGGCTCTGATGTCATTGCTCAAGTAAACACACACACAATCACAAACACTTTTGCATACAACTGTCACCTGCACCGTGCATGTAAAACTTTCAGCCCGTGCTCTCACACATCACACAAACACAAACTGGTTGAATCGAAGTCAAAGGATGCACCAGAAATGTTTCACTTCATTTCTCCACCAACGACATTAGTGATGAGGTTCTTTTCAAATGCAGCCTGAAGACAGTTATTTGTACGTGGAGAGTTAACGTAAGCTGCAAAAGTCACAGCACATGGTGAAACTTTTAACACTCACATTAAACACACATCCATGCACTCACACTGAAGTGCACAGAGCACACACACACACACACACACACACCACCACACACACACACACATCACAAGCTCACAGACGTATTGAGTAACCACATACATGTTTCCTCTTCTCTCTTCTCTTATTTTGGAGTTCATTACCGAGAAGCCTCATCCTTGCTTCCTCCTTCTCAAACCAGATGTGAGTAGTAGCTCTCGGCCTCTGTTCACCTTTCTTCATCTCAGTTTTTAGTTATTATGGTCAGAGGAACTGATTGTCCTTTTTTCGCGAGAGAGAGAGAGAGAGAGTGTGTGTGTGTGTGTGTCCTCAAACTTTATCCTTTTTTCCAGTAATTTCAGACTCTAAGAAACAAACACATATTACGACAACTCTCTTGCACGACTCTTCAAGCACTGAGAAGTTAATTGTTTTCTCAGACCCCTCGTTAACTTGCTGTACCTTTATGTCTCTTACAGCATAAATATTCTTTATACCACTGTCAACTGTTATTTTCCTGAAATCTACAATAATGAAATTGTTACCCACCATGATTTTGTCAATAAAACGATAACAGTAATATAATTTTATTTCATGACAGCTAAATATGCATAATTTGCAATTATTAGATTATTAATACAAAACGGTTCCACGTTTACTCTTTAAAATGTCAGATATTTAGATATTTCGTTTATTTTATTTAAAGTTTTTCAAATGAAAATTTTATATTTGGTCTTGAAACTTGTTTTTTTAAAGAAACTGAAATGGGTTTCTTCAAATGAAGACAGTTTTATGTGGACTCCCATGTTTCTATGTTAAGAATTTTGAAGAGAACCCCAGCAAATGCATTATTACCATTATTATTGTTTATGTGCTTCTTTCTGTATTTGAACCATTTGTTTTCTTGTTTTTCAGCATTTTGTTCTTTGTGTTGCTCTATAAACAAAGTAATTATTATTATTAAAAGCCCAAATGAACAATATGAGTAGATTGAACAAACCACAACAACACGTGTAAACATTTGTCTCATGCATTGTGACCCAGATTCATTGAAGTCTCAGCCGACCACAGCTATTTTCTGCACATACAGACACAAACTGTCCATCACAGTGGAAATCTAATCTACTGGTACTGACTCATAGAGTGAGAGCAGATTATAGAGCAGTCAATCCAATATCAAACAGTTGAGCACAGTCACTGAACACGTAGAGGAAGTTTTGCTTTTCATTGTGCACATGAAGTTGGATTATGTTTTGCAGGATTTAAAGTCATAGGGTTCAATCAACTCAAGTCCATTCAAACTTTGTCCCTGTGCAGCAGATGCGGCTCAGTGATCATATAAGGCTTTCGTCCAGACTCACTGTGAGTGTGCTGGACTGGGATTGGCTGGCTGATGGACTGATATGATTGGTTCAGGTGTGCGAACCATCATAAAGGCTCCATTGTGCAGCAGAAACACTGGAGCATATAGGAATTTGATATGTGGGCTCAGACCATGCCCTGTGGCCACCACCTGCAGCTATAGTTTGCATAATTCTGAAAACGACATACAGAGGCAGGGGCAGGACGCTGCAGTGAACCATGGAAGAAATTTGATTTAATGCTTTTTCCTTTGCACTCATGTCATTTTCAAAAGTTAATTTTGTTTCCCAGAGGTTTTGTCTTCTTATGGTCACATACTTTATTGTTTTTCACATTTATAAAATGAATGCACATTGATTTAAATGGGAAAAACATTAAAGCTAATACTTGAAAGTTGGTATTGTGTGCACTGTACGTGACCTGTGTCCCTCTGTGTCTCTCTGATTCTCCCTCTCACTGGGTCACATTGTCTTCTGCACCTGCTGCTGGAATCCCAAACATTTTGATAATGCCAGATAATGTCCCAGGGATGACAGAGGTTCAGCTAATGTTACCAAACCAATAACTTTCTCTTTTCATGTAGGAGCCAAGATGATTTCAGTTAAGGCCAAACATGGAGTCGTTCCTGAAGCACAGGATCTGCTGCGTATATCACAAATCATACATGTTGGAGACGCTGTGGGCACAGGGACGCAAATCACCACCACGATATTTTGGACCTGCTCCCAAAATACTAATATTCTGAGGAAGAGGAGAATCATGCAAGTCACTTTATCTGCAGGGATGTAGCAGCAAAATAATGAAAACCAATCACTTGTAACCAAACTAAGCCCCCGAATGATTGGTTTGAAATCATTAAAGAAAGTCAAGGACGGAGAGACTGACTTTGCTTCTCAGACAGTGATGCTTACATTACAAGACGGACAGTCAGAGGAGGTTGTCTCGTAGCCTTTCTCCGTGTTCTCACTCTTTAAACTGTCTTTTAAAATTTCTCATACTGTCCTTCTCCTATATACCCATTTGTGTGTGTGTGTGTGTCTGTGTGTGTGTTGTTAAAGAAGAAAAATGATTCAATAAAACTAAAGTGTGAAATAGAAGCACAGGACCTGCCAATGGATGAAGAAATAACTGCCACCATACATGCAGAACAGGTTTTGTATCGTAATTAAGCAGCACAGGGATGAACCCACATCAGTGAGGCACATGAGGGACAAACCTGCAGTGTGTGTGTATGTGTGTGTCTGTGTTTGTACTCGAGTCTGTTCGGTGAAGAATCTGCATCAGACATTTAAAGTATCAGACGAATGTGATGAGAGATATTTTTACCTACCTGAGGTGCGGCAGAGTGAAATAGTCTCGAAGTTTCTGTGGCAGATCAAACTTTGTGTTGTTTTCTTCTTGTTTTAATCACAAAACCTGTTGTTTCACCCACAAACTCGGAGGCTCAGGTTGTCTCCATGTAACCGACTGACACACACACACTGAGAGAGAGAGAGAGACACACACACAGAGAGAGACAGAGAGGTGGGCGGTGTGTTAGCTCAGATGGAAATAACAAGTTCTCTGCAGTGAGGTGAGAGAACAACAACCTGTTTCACTCAATATATCAGCACAAACGCATGATAGGTTCATAGAAGATGAGTAACTTATAGAAAGTGCTTTTTACTATCTGTTGAGAACTAAATCTATAGCTGCATGTTATCCAGGGGAGGTGCCAGGGGCGGGCTCAGGGGGGGACACCATCCCCAGCTGAAATCTGATAGGCCCCTGATGTGCCCCTATCCTAATTTGTTAAACGTCTACAAAAATCTAAATCATTTTTTAAATTTCTCTCTGACTTTGTCTTTTTGCTCCGTTGCTTCAGCGCTATTTGGGAAATGCTGCAAAGAAAGTGAAGTGAATGTGAAGTTGAATGGGCCACGACCTTACACCAACTCTAACCCTATCAACCCCTCTTGTGTAATCCTGACAACTAACATGACAGACACAACGAAAACTGCCACCGTTAGAGGTTTGTCTCCGTTTACAGGGAAATTTTGTTGCACTGAATGTATTTTTTTGAAGATTGTGGAAATACTGAAGAAGTTTCACTTCTCACAATATTTTCGAGGAAAATATAAAATTGCAACAACATCTATCTGAAGGCTGCATGTATTTATACTGCAGTGTTGCTCCTGTAATGGGACCTGGCACCGAAAACTTCCTCTGTCAATGACACTTAATTCAGACCTCTGCATAATGAGTGTGTTTCATTTTTGTTAGCTATTTAAAGTTCTGTACTCACTGTACAGAAATCTGAACACAGGACTTTTATTCTTCGTAGACAGATGAAGGATAATGTCAACAGAAACAGAGTAATTTGAAATTCTTGAGTAGTATTTATGTTCAGGCTATTTTATTTCTATTTAATTGTATCACCTACTTTCTATTTTGTATGTTCACTTGCTCTCGTTTCTCCCCCTTTTATTACTACTATTACTACTATTGCATGTGTATACAATCAAACACACACTTTTATATATTAGTGGTGTTTTTTGTGGGTACATTGTTCATAGCTGTCAAGTATGTATTTTCTAATTTTGTGAAATAACCATCTTCAGGTAGAGGCTTTAAAATGAGCTCTGGGTTTTCTGCCTCCTGCTGCACTGGATTTTATTACATTCTTTTGAATCTGTGCTAAATAAATACAAATCTAAATCTTTCTTGTTTTTTTGTGTTTGGTCAGTTTTGGGGATTTAAAAAAAAAAAAACCTCCCTGGGTGTGGAAGCGGAACTAAAGTCGCATCATGTGAGTTCCAGTCAGGACGCGATTAGAGAGCGGACTGTTTACCTTCCGCTGCGGTCCGGTGTCACAGAGTAAATGTCCTGGAAACATGTTCTCTCACGGTTCTGAGAGTTTAATCAAACAAGCGAGGTGAGAAAATATGCATCAAGATGAATTCCTGCCTCCGTCGACTCTTCTCTTCGTCTTGTTTTCACAGTTTTACTCCTTGTTTTGCTTTTGCTATGCTAACCAGGCTAAAGGCAGCTAGCTTACCAAAACAGTCATTTTTCAGAGGGAGGATTGCAGATGAAAATTAATTCCTCTTTCCTGTTTGTTTGTGTATTTGAGGCTCGTCACCGTCACATTTTCATTGTTTCGGTCACATGAGATTCTGTGTAAACAAAGTCCGAACTTTTTAGGGGAACTCTGGTCGTGTCGTCATTTCTATGTGTCACAGACAAATAATTCTCTCATGGTTAGAAGCTCATGTCCAGTTCCATATCCCCAATATAAAATATCAGCATTGGGAATGTCTATAAAAGTTGCATTGCTTGAAAAACATACCAACTTTCAGAGGACAACATAAATGTTGTGACAATCATTCAGGTTTCTGCAGTAAGACTTTTCAGACACGGTGTCGTTTCGTTTCAGGGAGATTCAGGAGTCTGAGCTGCAGAAGTTTTACTGCAGATTAGTGAAGCTGCTCCAGGGGAAGGAGTTCGGTCATGAGACGATGGACTCCCTGCAGAGGCTGCACCTCATCCTCTCTGCCACCAAGTACACCAGGACGTAAGAGCTCCAGTCCACACCTCATATACGTACCCTGTAACGGACACCTCTCATATTACTGATCCCTCACGACTCACCTCTGTCCTCTTCTCTAAACTCATATCAGTCACAGAGTGGTCCACAAAGAAGACAGCATCCTCTCACTTTCAGACTGGACAGATAGGAATTGTTCTTATGATAACGGCTCAAAAACACTGTGGTCTGTTTCTGCTGCAAACTGTTTAATATCCGACATGAGCTGTTTATGCTTGACCTCTCTGTCCTCGTACAAACCCATCGTCTTGTGTCTCCCCTGTTGTCCTGACTCCAGGTTGCCTGCGGAGCTACAGAGGAGGCTTTTATCGCTCCTCTCTTCACCAGTGGAGCAGCTTCAGGTGCTGAGCTCTGCTGTGCTCAGAGAGACACTGCCCCTCTCTGGGCAGGAATTGAACTACAACCAGGAGAACGTTCAGCTGAACATCCATTCAGCCGCCCTGCTGCTCTCACAGGTGTCGTTTTCAACACAACTAACTTCACCAGAGAGATTTTGTTTTCATTGGCATCTGTTGATTTTTTTAGTTTGCAGGATTATGCAAAAAAACTACTGGACCAATTACAATAAAAAGTGTGGAAGGATGAAGTTTGGGTTATGAGAGAAATGCAGGTCAGGGGGCAGATGCAGGGATATATCTTTTCTTTCTTAAAGGTATTTTTCAACATTTTCCAGGATTTCTCAGAGAATAAATCATGAATCTTCATGAATAAAATCTTGATGATCAACTGATCAACCCATTAAGTAAATGGTTTGTATTTTGTGAAATCCTCAGAAGAAAGTTTACTAAATACTGCTAATAGTAAAACTTACACTATTTTGCTTCATTTGTTTCAACATAACAACTCGAGGAGTTTGTTTTGTTTGCAGATCTAAACTCATCACCATGTTTCCCACACTTTGACCCCTGCAGGCTGGATCCAGAGCTGATCTGTCATCTCTATGCGCTCAGCTCCTTCGCAGCCTGGAGAGCCGTCAATCCGAGGGTCCGTCTTATTCACTCACACACACATTGCCGATCCTCAACGCCATCCTCACACACAGCCCCGAGTGCCTCACTGAAGGTAACAGACAAAACCAATCCAACCACTTTAGTTTCCAGCAAATTTCAAGACAGAAAGTTCAACTGAATTGCAAATCAATGATGAAGTTGTTTGCATGAAAAGTTTTCTCACCACTCCTCCTCCCCACCTGGCTCACCACAGATCACGTAACCCTGCTGAGTAAAAAGCTTGTCGATTGGCTGCGTTATGCGAGCATCACACAGGGAGGCGGAGCTTCTTCAGGTGGATTTTTCACAGGACCCAGGTCACGACAGGTAAATCTACACTCCTACTTAAAACCAGTCTTTAAAAGCTTTCTCTTGATTTTTCAACCGCTGGATTTTATATTTACATCAGCCAGTGCCGATAGCAGAGCTGGACGGGACGGTGTCTGGGGATTTCTTCACCGTGCTGTGTGTGGGCCAAGGCTTCACTGAGGACCAGTGGATGAATGTTTACTCCTTTTCCATGCTGCATCACTGGCTTCTCACCTACCACTCTGCTCCTAGTGGCAACACCTTAGCAGATACTGGTATGAATCTACACTTTTCAAACCACAACCTTTCGTCTTCTCATGCAAGAGAAGCTCATTACTTTATTTCATAGCCGCAAAGTACATACAAGGAACATCAGCCTCAAAGAATCGGCCACGATGGCTGAATACATCTAAATGGCTCCTGTCCGATGACCTGTACTGTGTTTTCATCATCTCCAGCAAACAGGTTACAGCTCAGCTTCTCTCTCTCCCACTCCCACTCCTTTTCTAATGGTAAGATTTGTGAGTTTGTTGACCTTCCCTGCATGCGCGTCTCAGAAGCTGAAACTCTGAAACAGCTTCTGGTTTTTTAACTCTGGGGTAACACAGATCAACTCACAACTCCTGACATGACCGTGACTCACAACTGCATTTAATCAGATGATCTCTAACCAGAAATTTTCATATCGGACTTCTCAACGACACTTTCACTGGTGTGTGTGCGTCATCTGATGACTCAGTAAACCTGAATGAATCACTGTGGTGAATGACTAAACAGATGCTCTGATAGCGACCACTTGGATAATTGTATGTAATCCATGTATACGTAAGATGTTGCAATGTAATGTAAAATAATAATAATCTACCACCGGGGAATTAACAAGCCTTGTATGAACATCCTGCCTGAGTAAAACAATCCTGTATGCACCGTAATGCCTCCTCAATGCGTCTGGAGAACCGATCACATCGTTCAGAGGTGATGTTGGAAATGTCTCTGACTCGCTGCAGTTTCATGATGAACTGAAACTATTTTTAACGCTTCGCTTTGCATATGTTGATTCATTTATGGCCAACGTCATATTAACATTGAACCCCACCCATTGATTTTCCTTTTTTTTTTAATTGGTAAAATCAATTTTTATTTTAAAGTTGATTAGCTCAGCCGCCCCTGGCTCTGCTCTCTTCTCTTCATAGCAACAGTAGTTCAGCATTTCTTTCTGTGAATGATCCACTAATTTGATTTGAATGAGTGGAATACATCATTTGACTCGTGACCTCTCCTTCCTGACCTCTCGTGTCGCAGATGACCGGTCGGAGGTGGACGGATCAGTGGTGTCTATGGTTTCGGCAACTTCCTCCTCCAGCCGACTGCTGCCTCCAAAGGAGCGCCTGAGGGAGAAGGCGTTCCAGTACTGCCTTCGCCTAATAGAGCAGAGCGATCGCAGTGAGTTTGTTAACAAAGATTATGAATCAACTAGTGCATATTCAAGTTTGTTTGTTTTCCTGACTGTATATTATATTACACACTAATAGACACTATAGTAGACTTCATTTTGATGTGGATTCTTTTCTGTGCCTCAGAGGCGCTCAAACGCACAGACACAGAGCTGCAGAAAGCGGTGAGTCCATGTATTATACTTGCAGATGTACACTTTCCTACAGGTTCTCCCAGTCCTATCCAATATATGTTTATGGCACTAATCAAATCTTATTAATTACTTAAAATCCATCCAATGATTATCGACTAAGCATCCTTTTCTCTCAAGTAAATTAGTTTTAACAACAAGTTTGTGATTTTTTTTGTCCTCAGAATGATCAAGAAAGATTAAAATGATTTTCCTTTTACCCCAAGCAGCACATTAAACCAGATTTTGTATAATTCCTAGTGTTTGGTGGAGGCAGTGTGTATCCTGGACTGTGTGTGTGTAGAGGACACTTCACTGGTCTACCGAACGTTCCCGTGTGTGAAGGCCCTCTTTGGTCGTCTCAGCTCGGACCTGACGTTTGCCAGAGTCCTGCTGCCCATAGCACAATTCTACCTTAACCATGGTACGTGTATGCAACAATACCTACATGTGCTCTACTTCACACAAGCCTCTCTTTGTAAATGCAGCTATAAGAAAAAGTATGTGTGTATAGTAGTTCTCATACATGCAGATAAGTCCTTTTAAAATGTGAACCTGTGTAGGTGAAATGGCGGCAGTGGACTGTGAGAGCGTGTGGAAGCTGGTGTTTGGTCGTTTCCCAGCCGAGCTCTTCAACGATCCCTTTCTGGCCCATGAGCTTCTACGCTTCCTACGACTGAACCTTGGGAGCCTGCAGCTCCGAGTCCCACAGTATCCCCGCTCATTCCCAAACCTGCTGAAGGTCACAGATGATGCATTCAGACTTTTCAGTACTCAGCACAAACTTAAATGTAAATGAAAAGAGTGGAATAGGTATTGCTCTCTTTCTCTCTCTGTAGTTTTTAGCCTGGGACAGCCCAGCGGTGGTGGATGACTTTGTGGATCTGCTGCCCTCTCTGGTCACCGTTGAAACTGCAGTGGAGCTGCTCCACACACTGCTCGACCTGCCCTGTCTCACTGCCACGCTGGTCCTGCAGCTCAGGTGCACGTTCACGTCAGAAAATCTAAAATCTAAAACCCTGATGGGGTTTCAGTGCATTCACATCTTTTACCAACATCTGACCGATCATATGTTTGTGTGCTCTGCAGGTCGACGTGCTCACCCATCTCCGAGCCAGGTGGACGTGGCCTCCTGTCACTGGATGCGTTTCGGAGCCCGTCTTTCAGAGGCCTTTTTCTCTACCTGCTTCGAGCAGAGGCGGGATCAGGTGATCACAGTAACGCAGTTAAAAAAATAAAGTCAGATATCTTAGAGAATTTACTTTTGCACTCACTTGCTATAAAGTTAAATGGACAGCGTTTAAGACAATATAGTTCATCCATTATTTTAAACAGACAGCAAGTGTAACCGCCCTTTTTTTCCTCCCACCACAGGGGACACGATCGACAGACTGAGCACGCTCCATGAGTTCCTCGCTGAGTCGGCTGATTGGCCGAGAGTCGTTCAGTGTTCCCAGACTGTCCCGGTGCTGTTGCACGTTTTCTTCAACACTGTCGTCACGGTGAAGAGATTAAATGTTCTTTCACAAATACAACCACTGTGCATTAAAATGCTGTCTGTTTACATTCAGCTGGATATTCAACTCCCATGTATGTGTGTTGTTTGCAGGTGGCTGACGAGAAGCTTTTAGCCCATTTGATTCTGGTGATGCTGGAGAGAAGCAGCCTCCTCCTCAACCTCCCCACATACATGAAGGAGATACACAGGTAGAGCTTCACACGTGCTGCGGAACTCTGCTCAGCATCCTGATGCTCTGCGTTAGTTCCACATCTCTGCTCTCCCTCCTTGCCTCTGCAGGGTGTTCAGCTGCCACCTGCTGAGGCTATGCAAGCTCCGCCCCTCCCTGGTAGTGGACCAGTCTCATGAGTTGCTGGAGTTTGCTGGAACCACAGCGAGCGTCTACAGCAAAGAAGAGATCTACACACACGTGGTGATGAAACTGTTTTCACTTGTTATTGTTGCCTCCTCATGGTTTTGACAGGAGCAGTAGACCTCATTGGGACCAAAGCCTGGTCCTAATGAGGCAAAACCTCATTTCTGATCAATGTCAGGTGTGAATTGTTGATTGACGGGCTGGGTTTAGGTATGAGTTGGTCATGGTTAAGGTTAGGGACAAGGTTTTGGTTAATGCAAAGTCTCACCCGACCTCACATCTCCAGCTTCAAACCATTTCCTGTGTATTCAAATGTCTCGCACCGAAACACTGATACCTGACTCCGAAATCCTATTCAACTTGTGTGGCTCTCAGGTGTGGGCGCTGGGAGAGTACCTCTCTGTTTCGTGCGACAGCCGCTGCTCTGTGACGCTCATCACTTCCTGTTTTGAGACGCTGGAGGCGGTGCTGTTTGAGATAACTTCCTCGACCCCGCCACCTGGAGCGGCTTGCCCTGCCCCGAGAGTCGTCACCACTCTAATTAGTGCTCTCGCTAAGCTGGCGTCACGCTCTCATGACCTCATCCCCAGGTGAGTGGCGAGTAAAATATCACCGTTTTGATTTTCACTCACAGCGCCTGCGTCTGTAACGCGGTGCAATCGTGTGTTTTCGCTCTGTCGTAGGGTGTCTCTGTTCCTCTCCAAGCTGAGAACGGTGACCAGGGCGGGTTCAGTGGCCTGGTGCTCTGACGAGGAGGATCTTGTTGCCATAGTAACGCGGGGGGAGGAGCTGTGGTCGCTGCTGAAGACACCCGGTGTGGCTCAGAGTGTCCTGACCCCGCCCCCACATGTCACCACACCACAGTGGCACCGAGACACAAACTTGTCCATGTCACTGCAACTGCGAACCCTCACCAGCCTCACACACACACAGTGACACACAAACACACACACGTGCACAACCCACAAACCTCAGCACCTGCATTTACATCAAATGTGCATCTCAGTGATTGTTGCTTGATTTTTCTTTTTTGCACATTACTTTTGTAAATAAATGATAATATTGAATTGAAACTTACGATGAATCACAAACACTCAGATCCTTGTTGTGTAATATAGTTTTTTTATTTCAGTGATTTCACAGACAAAACATTTAAAAAAATAAAATCCTGAGTAAGTGCTCTGATGAAACAGATTCTGCTCAACTACTAGAGTTTAGGGAAGACCTGAAAAGTGTGACCTATACAGTGCTGGAAGAAGTATAAAAAAATAGTAGAAATTTGCATATATTTATATAATCTACATATATTTAATCCCCATGTGTTAATTCTGTCATTTTCAGAGGATTTCAGGAAATTCTTCTTGAATCGTCCCTGCTGTCGATAGAAAAGTGCGTGAAGATAAGAGTGCATCAGTTAAAGACACCTGCTAATCATCGTCCTCTAAACGATCAATGCATACAGCCGCGCAGATTCGTGAACTATCATTTTAACGCTCAGATTTCTTAGATCTCTTTTAAATCACATTACAGTAAATAGATATTTTACGATTTACAATAAATTTACATCACAAAGGGCCCGTTATCGTCAACGAATCAGTTTTCCTTGTGTTTCAACTCTGTCCTCTCGTCAGGATTGTTCATGTTCATGTGTCCCCAGGTTTTACATGGGGACAGAAATTTATTTAGCCTATGATAATCAAAGACCAGTGGCAGCAGAGATGTTGTGCTCAGAGCTTAGATTTTTCTCTAAAACTAAAACTGTAAACTTTGACTTTAAAGTTTGTCAGCTGACTACATTTTTATATTTTGAAGATGTGCAAAAATAGTTTGGAAGAAAATAAAATCAGTGCAACTGTGTCACTGAATTCCTCCGTTTACATCTGGCTCGTAGCACCGCTGTTAAGGAATGTGTGTCTGGTCAGTTTTGGCACAAGTTTACAAGCTGAGGAGTTGTTGTCAAGGAACAGTTTGACCTTCGGGGAAATTCTTTTCTTGTAAAGTCTTTGTGATGATTAACAGCATTTTTAATCGGAATCATATTTCTGTGTAGTACATCATCACTTACGATCAGTCTCTTTCAAGTTTGGCCAAATCACGCAATAACTAAACACTAAAAGATTTTGGTCCCGTCTGGGAAGAAATTCATCTGATCCTCAGCAGCAGGTCAGACCTGCTGGTCAACAGGTCGGCTGTTGTAAAAACACAGTCGACCTCCCGACTCAAACGCTCTTCTGTGAGTCGTGTCCCTCGGTGTCGGACCCTGCGGCCGGTCACCTCGCTGTCTGCAGCAGCGGCCCGGGTAAGTACAGGTACCTCCAGATGGCGTAATAATGAATTCCTGCTCCAACTGCAACAAAAAGATGCCAGATGGCGTGGGCGAAAGGGACGAGGCCGTCACTCTTGAAGAAGACCACCCCCACCACATAGAAGACACCTCCCACCGCCAGCTCACACACGCCAGAGCGCTCCACCTGTAGCACATCAGAAGAATCAATGAGGTAAAGAGTTGGTCTTGATTCAAAGGAGCTTAAAATATGAAGGATACAAACTGATATGAGAAATATACCTGATTTTGAAACACATTATTGTTTTGTAAATGTATTTATACAAAACTTATGATTCATCAACAAGACTGAACTGCACTGTCAGCAGAGACATTATACTGTATCTCAGAAAAGTTTCAAGTTTCTAGTGTCAATAACGGCGATACAAATTTCAGTTTGGTTCCCACGCAGTAGCAGGAAGTTTGTTGCAGCTTTATAGCTGAAAACTTTACTTCTGTTCTTCAAAGCAGAGACAGAAAACTTCATTGACTTGTTCTTACCATGGACAGGATGACCGCAGCAGGAACCGCCCCCATGGCCACATATCCCACCAACTCTAGCAGCTTGTACCTGCAGGTAGAAAACTGGGACGTGTAAGAGATCATGCCTCCGGTTCTCTACGTGGTTGTTTCTGCTTCAAACAGCAGACCACTGTTTGCTGTAAACACTTGAGGACGGGAGTTTGGTTTCAGGTTAATTGTCTTAAACCAGGACACAGGGAGCAGAGAGAGAGAGAGAAGGAGCGACTGTGTTACCTCTCATGGAAAAAGAAGACATACGTAGATCCTACACAAGCCATGACCCAGATCAGCCAGCGCATGTGGCACGTCCAGGGCCCCAGCTCCCTCAGCATCAACCTGGGGGAGAGACATCACACGCACATCAATATTTACTGTGTTGTGTTGTTTGTTGGACTAAGCGTGATTTGTTGGCTACAATCATGTGACTAACCAGGGCGAATAGGAAGCAGCGATGAAGAAGTAGATGGCCATTCTGTCACACATGTGGAAACGCTGCTCCACTTTCCTACGCAGAGGAAGAAGAGAAGATTTATATTTATCCTGTTTTGGGAAAAAGCATTTACAACATTAATTAATACAGTAACCAGAGTATTTAATATCACAGTCCATAGTACTGAGGGGTTTTTTTCTAGTACAGGGCAGAAGTCTTTAACTTAAAATGTGTGGATTTACATCAGGGTGATTTTGTAATTAAGGTGTGGTGGTTATCACTGGTGCCTCAATAGAAGAAGGTTGCCGGTTGGAATCCCAGTTTGCATGAAGTCCCCGTGTTAGCATGTGATATCCACAGGGGATTACATTTACCAGAGACTCTAAACTGATAATAGTGTGAATGTGAGAGGGAAAGTTTGTTTGTCTCCGTCCATAAAGTGGACCAGTCTGTGCACAGTAGTAATACCACACACACACACACACACACACACACACACACACACACAGACAAACCGGAGGTGGCTAATTTTCCATGCAGCAGTGTGGAAGAGTGTTGAGGTGACAAACAGGCCGGTGAGTCCGCTCCCATAGAGCCAGGCCGCCACACGATGCCACTGGTCCACAGACAGGAAGTAGAGCACCGAAACGCCCACCAGACTCGGTAAGATCCACAACTACAACAAAGAAACACAAAGCTTAACAGTATTTATTTATTATATAATATATATATATATTATATATTTACACCTTTTTAAAAATATTAGATTTGTATTTAGGTTAACAACTGCTTGGCATTATTTCAATTCTCTTGACTACAATTGCTGCAGGCCTCCGTCAACCATGACCTCTGACCTCTGAGTTCAATTTTAAAAAACTTCACTAAAGGCAGACTTGAGATATCATGTTCAAAAAATAAAGCATCTGTGAGAACACTATGACCTTTGACCTTTACCAACCACTCTTATAACTTAGGTCTGTACAGTAAACACCAGAAACCTGTTAGCTTAGCATAAAGACTGGACACAGGGGGACAAATCATTTCTTCAATGTTATAGCAACAACATCCTAAAGTTACAAGAAATCCTGCAGCACTGTAACCTCAGGGATTTGTTATGTTTGCACAGAAGCAGGTTGGGCTGTTTCCCCCATTCCCTCTATTTATACCATTCTTAGAAAACATTCTGCTATAGAGGTGGCTTCATATTTAACTTGCAGACACGACTGGTGTCAACTTTCTCCTGCGACTCTCATCAAAACAAATAGAAATATGTTACTACGCGTCCACTGTCAGAATTCATTTCACCGACTCTTCGTGCTCCACAGAAACATGGCATGTTAGCAGCCATGAATGAACGAATATATAAATTACAGCAAATCCAACCACAGTAAATCCGGCCCCATTCAAGGCTTTACAGTAATTATGGCCGTGTTTCCACTCTGTTTTCATCCTGTCTGTCTGCTCCATTCACGCTGTCTTGCTCTCTCAGAGGCAGAAGAGCACAGGGATTACAGCAGATTAGAGAAAGCTACAGGATGAATCACAGATTATAGCCCTCTGCCTCCAAAGCTCAGCCAAAAAATCCTCCCCATGTTGTCTCATTCCTCGCAATCCATCTTTTCCCTTGAGTGACGAGCGCCCAAGCCACAGAAAACACAGGAGGAGGCCGGGACAGAGAGAGAGAGTGTTTCTGTGTGTGTGTGTGTGTGTGTGTGTGTGTGTGTTTGTGTCTGACCCCATGTGTGGCACAGTTTGCGGCATGTTCATAGTCTGTGGGCTGATATCTCTTGCTGGATGGCACCCTACAGTTCATGAACCTGAGAGCGAGACAGAAAGAAAGAAAGAGAGAGAGTTTAGATCCGAAGGCTTCATTAGTTAATAAGTTACTGTGTGCTGAACCCATGAAGACCAATGTGTGTGTGTGTGTGTGTGTGTGTGTGTGTGTGTGATGGTCATTCTTGGGGGATTTACAGTCTCTAATCCACATCACGTTGTCTGAATTTTACTGTGCCTCATCGTTACTGGGGAAACTGTCTGCGTTGCCATGGTCACCACCAATGTCCCTGTCTGCACAACCACAACAGGATTCCGCTGACCATTCATTTTTGCATCCTTTATCATGTTGCTATGAGTTACTATATGTCCCTCCTCTTGTGTGTGTGTGTGTGTGTGTGTGAATGTGTGTGTGTATGCGTGTTGTGTAGGCTATTTAATCAGCAGTAAATCTCTCAATCCCTGCTTAAAGGGAAAAACACATCTGGAGATGTTACGAAACCACATTTTATACATGAAGATGAACACGCTCGTATACAAACAAACAAACACACACACACACACACACACTCATTTGAATGAGGCTTCTCGCGCAGGGCCACAGGTGTGCCTTTGTCGGTCAGCTGTGTTATTTGATTACACATTTAGGCCGACGGCGTTTGTCGGAACGGTCTATTAACTCTGCACAGTGAAGAGAGCAATCAGGAGCAGGGGAAGTAGAGGAAGGTAACGAGGCTGCTCCAGTCAGAGGGAGTTTATTTGGCACCTAAACCCCTCGTGATGTCATCGAGGTTGAGAGGGAACGTGACTGTGTGGTATGGGAAACCCCTCCCCCCCCGGGGTCTGTACACTGGTGGTGGTTGATGGGATCTGGAAATTGTTGAGGATTTGATGAGTGCACTGACAAAGACAGCAGTGCAAGTGTGTGTGTAGGTGCATGTTTGAGCGTGTATGTACAATGCTCACAACAGGAATGTGTGTTTTCCTGTTGTGCGTCTGGTTTGGCGTTCATGACATCAGGGCTCTCGCCAGCACGAAACACCTCACACACACACACACACACACACACACACACACACACACATTTTCTCTGCAGCTCCTTTCCCGGACTTTCTCTCTCTCTCTTTTTTTTTTAAACTAACATTACATTACGAGAAATAATTTGTTACGAGAAGACGTTTATCATGAAGCTGCTGTTCCCTCTTCTTTTCCTGCGTGCAGCTCCACATGCTTCAGCAAGAGAACAGTATTTTTCTGTTGTGGTATTGTGGAGCTATCAATGGACCTGAATGTGGCACAATGATGTCCGCTAATGGGTTATGACAGGACCTTGTGTGTGTGTGTGTGTGTGTGTGTGTGTGTGTGTGTGTGTGTGTGTGTGTGTCTCTCTCTCTGTGTCTGTATGAGAGAGAACTTGTGTGATGGT